TAGGTACCCTTTTCATACATATCGAAACACATAAGCAACTAACACACAAGAGCGGCCTGAATACTTACTCAAAATACAAAAGTAGAACAAGAGCAATCACTTCGTGCGTGTTAGCTAGTAGTGGGCCCCACCGGCTCCGCCTAGCTCACCACTGTTTGAAATAGAAGATTGCATCGAATAATATCACAAACGGCCACTAACATGCTCAAAACAAGCAAAACGGCAAAATCGGCACATGCAAGTGCAGAAACGGCAAACGGAAACGGCCAGATCTGCCATCTCAAACCGTTTTGATCAAACGTTAGGCTAGGAATGTCGGATCAAGGTGGGTGAGACGCCGTTTCGAAGATACAAGGAAGTGCTACAATTTTCGTGAAGACACCTTAACCCAGATCTCGAAAGGTATTGGTAAAAAATGCACAAATTAGTTCCAGCCATTTAATTTCGGTTGACCAAACAGGCCCTGTTTGAAAGACCGTAACTCACAGCTCAGAAATCGAAATCAAGAAATTACAGAGGCATTAGAAAGCTGAGACATTAGGCTATAATTTTCATGTTCAGACCAAAAGCTGAATCATTACAGAGCATGGAGGAAAATGGGTCCAAACATTCCTGTCAGAACTGTCCAATTCGAAGGCAGTTCTGACAACCGATCTTGTTTTGGCCATAACTGATGCTACGGGACTCGGATTTGGATGAACTTTATACCGTTTCGAAGCTAGGACCAAGATCTACATTTCTTATGAAGAGGTCAACACCCAGTTCGTACGTTATCAAGACGGATAAAACATGGTCAGAAGCAAAATTCAAAAACGTACACAATCCAAGGTTCAAAACAGGTGCAAGTGTTTTGGCTATAACTTGGGCTACACTGATCCGTTTAAGGTGTTCTTGGTGGCGTTGGAAAGCTAAGACAGAGTACTAAAACTTTCATGTTTTGAAAAATGACTAAATCAGCACGAATCATAGTGAATAAACACAATCAATTGGAAGAACTGTCCAAAACGGATCACTGGAAATATCCTAGGGCAGTGAGGATATTTTGATCTTTTCACAGGATACGTTGCTCCGATTGAGCTGAAATTTTGTAGGCAACTATAAAATACCATTATCTACAACTTTTATGTTTTGTGCCAAGCCTAATGCGGCCTCTAACATGGAGCACTAAAACCGGACAGAACAGGGTAGCTTGGTTTCCCAATTCTGAAATTTGCACCTTTACTCTATAAATTCATATCTAACAAGTGCTCTATCATCAAACCCACCAATTACTAGCTCAATAACATCAATTAAGAGGTAGATAACCATAATCAAGGCTGAAAATATAAACCCTAGTTAAACATCCCAACATACCATTTAACCCATGAAATTTTCCCCATAAATCCATCAAAACTATAACTTTAAGCTTCTAGTTCACACATATAAGAAGTAGAGGGAAGTTTCTTACCAAATTCACCTTAATCCCTATATCAAGAAGCTGCCAAGACCTTCCTCTTCCCAAATCACTCCACCAAAACCCTTAAGCTCCTTTGGAGATCAACTTTTGTGGAGGAATTTGCGAGATTATCGGTTGAAACTCAAGATTGAGGCTTGAAATTGAGGATCTCTTGTTTTTCCTCTCAAGAATTTCGACCAAGACTAAGAAAAGGGGAAGAAATGAGAAAATTTTGGTCAAATTTCTGTTTTATGAAGGTTAAGACAAGTTGGTCAAAGTCCAACTTCCATAGATGCCTTGACACTTGTTTTCTTTCTAGCATTTTCTCTCATTTCTCTTGGTCAAATATTGTGGCTGATGTATGAGATATTTTGAGGGTCAATTATCTAAAATAAAATGAGAAGATTAAGGTAATAAAGTATGGGTCAAATGGTGTGTTTACCCGGTAACAAACGGTACTCGTTGGTTCGAGCCGATTTTTCTTAAATCACTCGTACTAGTGTTTTTTTCTTCCTATTCACTAACTTTTTTATTATTGTATCTAATCACATATTATTTCTCACCCAAAAGTCACTCTTAAATACCAAATTTGATCCTTGCTCCGTACCGAAAAATCATCCAGCGAAAAATCGCGAAAACCCTAATTTGCTCCAATCTTGAAAACGAAGAGTGAAACCTTACTTTCTAGGTTCATTTGCACTTATTGACGAATGATTGAGTAGTAGGATCATATTAAATGAATAATTGCCAAATAAAAGGAATTTAAAGAAAGGTGTGATGAATTTTACAATTCCATAGAATAAAATTAGGGTTTTGAGTCAAATATGAGGGATTTAAACATAACCTGCTAGTCACAAGTAAACTAGGGTTTTAAAGTACAAGTAAGGTTTCTAGTCTTGAAATAAAATAATGTTTTAAAACAAAAATAAAATAAAGAAACCGTAATCCTTTCTTTGAGATTAAACAAAAATAGTATCCTAAAATTTGGGGTATCACACCACTTCAAGAAAAATACCACAATAGATTGCTAATGATAAAAAATGCAAAATATGCTTAAATATGTAATGTTTTTGAATTATTTCTTTCATTTACGAGGTCTATTATTTCACATGATTAACAAGAAATTTCCATCATTTGTAATAAAAAATAAAAATTCTCAGGCGATGATTGGATTAATAGAAAGGGAACAATTTTGGTGAAAAAAATAAATCAAAATAGAGAAAATCATTTCTAACCATCGTGTTTGGATTAAAATACAAAAAAAATGAAACAACAAATATTTTGGAAAAGAAATGAAAGAATAGATTATGTGTAGTTACATTTTATTCATAATGTAATTAAATCTAATTGTAAACAAATTTTATCACTTTACCTCTTTTTTGTATATTTTTTGTATTCATCTTGTTATTCTTATGAAAATTTTATTAGAATTTTATAATATCTTGTCATTCTTTTGTTACTTTTATCTTGTTATTCCTTTTTTTGTTGTTGGGGGGAGGAGGATGAAATTACAAGAACTACTAAAATATAGAAAAAGAATTTTAAAATGTTAACAATTATCATTATAAATTTAGTATTCAAAATTTTCCAAATTATGGTTACTTTATTATAAGTGGCTCAATTCTTTCTCTCAATATAACTACATAATATTTCCTAAGTTGTAAGGGTTATAAAGTCATTTGACCATCAATAAGATAAGCATAGGGTCCTAAATGGTTGACAAGAAAGGTAAATGATATTTTCAAGATCTTGAATGAGGACAGTGAAATTGTTAGAAAGCCTAAGACAGGTTTCTGACATTATTCCCAATAGAATCTACCATAATAGCAGTTTACAAAATTCTTAAAAGACTAGAAAATTATTGTCATGAAATACTAGGTTTCCTATGTTACAATACATTTTTTTTTATAAAACCTCCAGAAAATAACAATCCAAACGGTTACTGTAAATTAGAGCACCCAATGCATAATCTTGCCGTATCAATTTTTAGAACCCAATTGTCTTACTATTTCAAATTTTAGAAACCAATTTCACTACGGTCAATTTCAACTCATCATGATGGGCAATCATCCCCACCACTAGCGGCCAGTCGCCGGCAACAAGGATGTCATCCACGTTCGAAAAGGGCAGCAACTGCTGCTGTGGCTACTATAGCAGTTAGCGCATCAGTGCACCCAGGCACAGCCGAAGATGTTGACTGCAAGTTGCTTTTTTACTTTATTTTAAAATTTTCCTCATTTTTTTTTTCAACAGCCTGAATCAGACTTTTGTTGTTTTATAAACAAAAGCCTGATTTAGTCTTCAAAAGTTTCGCAACAAAATGATTCTTCAATGCGTTGGTATTTTTTTCCTTCTTTTGCATGACAATTAAATATTAAGGTTGAGAGATAGAAAGAATTGTAAATAAGAGATTTTGAATTCAAACCTCTCTTTTATACTAAAAAAAAAAAGAAAAACATGACAATTTTTTGCTACCTCAAATTTCAAGTATTATATTAACCTGACGCTACCCAAATTTGTTCAGACCATTAGCTCTTAAGGATCACATTTAAAGAGTTGATACGTTTGTTAATAATTATATGCAAATTCGTCTGTACAAGTTCGAAACACTTCAAATTTGACAAAGACAAACAATTAACTTCTTATCATCAAACATTTTCATCTCTCCAAAATCCAAATGACGCCAACAGAACACCAATAACCCCATCCACAAATTTCCTTTCCAAAGTCCCCATGTGCAACTAATGCCAAATCATGCACTGTTTTATGTCCACGCCCATCAGCAACAGGCAGTCACACCACTCGGAATCACTTATCCAAAGCACTGTACAGTTGCCCAGTCCACTCAAAGGTCATTTTCTCAGGTGTTTTTCTTTCCTGCAAGAAGTAGCAACAGAACAAAGCGAATCTATTAAGACAAACTAGGACATGTAGGAGGAAATGGGGTCACTCCAACTTTAGTTCTCTCTAGTTATGAAAACGATAAAATTTTGATGTAAATTTATACAATTTTAGTGCACGAATGAATATAACTGATTCGGTATAAACTCACGATTACACAAAATATATATTAATTTACACCAAAATTATATCAGTTTACATGGTTGGACGGAATTAGACGGAACCTCAACTGGAGGGCCTCGAATTCCCCCAAGAAATTTTAGTGCTACTAGATATAAGCAGCATAGAAATCAAAAGTAACCAACACATTTTGCACCAAGAAAGATGGGGTCTACCTTATAAAGGCACAGCACTAACACAGACAAAAAGCAAAGAAAATTTGGTTTCTAGCCTTTAAACAATGGAAAATTCGTACGGGCCACCATAACATTCTTCGTCTGCAAGTATAAACAAAGAAGGCCCTTTTACAAAAATCCCATGCCTTTAGATCACAAAACTCAAGAAAGGTGTCATAAACGTTCCTCCCATACAGACAAGTGCAACTGAAACACAAAGAAATTAAAAAAAAAAAATGGAAAGTACTTTACATTTCCATACCTCTGAAAAATCCTGCAATCATTTTTCTTTTTTTTTTCTTTTTTTTTTAATTTTTCTTTTTTTTTCCTTTTTAATTAGGGAACATCTTCTGTGTGTCCATTCTGCTTCATCAAAAGTCCTTTCTCTTCATCATTACCATGCTTCTGTGTCAACTCCAAGCTAGTGAGCTTTTTGGCTTTTAAAGATTCGCTTTCCCAATCTGTACAGACCAGCACTACATACAGAATTGAGATGGCACAGGCAGCTTGAGCAGATAATAGCCCAAACCATAGTCCACTGAAGCCAACATGGAACCAGAAGGCTAAGCCTACAGCCACAGGAGTGCCCACGAAATAGAACGAGCCAAGGTTGATACGAGCACCGACCACTGGCCTGGCTGTACCACGTAGAATACCACAGCCAGTGGTCTGTGGACAATTGCCAAGCTCGCACAACCCGATGATTGGCAAAACTGAGGCAACAAGAGCCTTGAGCATGTCATCTTCTGTGAACAAGCCACCCCACTTATGCCTAAACATCACGGTCCAAATAATGTTGACGAATCCGATAACAAATGCACAGCCTAGCGCAACCATTGCAGCAAGCTTCGCTTTGTACGGCTTCCCCGCCCCGAGCTCATTGCCCACCTGTGTCGGCAACCAGTTTAAATGTACCAACTTCACTAGCATCAATATTGACTATCGATTTCCTCAGTCCTAATCATGCAGTCATAGCCCATATAAATGATCTTTTGTTTTACTTTACAGACAATTAGGTTCTATTACTTTCCATAATCCAGCACAACATGCGTAAAGATGCACAAATGTCACCAATAAAAAATGACTTTTTCGATCTATAATGTCAATCGAAAACTCCAATAAAAGTTCAACTCACTTGGTCATGTAAGTGACTGGCACATGTAACAAATTTGCTAGTTGTTTAGGGATAAAAGGAAAAGGAAGCAATGGACATGCTAATGAGGGAGAGGCAATAGACGACTGAACACTTTTCCATACTCAATTTGTCTTGCCCTATTCTACATGTATGGGCTTAGTTGAGTAGGCGGCAAGTGGATTTGTGGAAAAGTGATGCAACAAAGTAACAGACCAAAAGCACATGATCCTTGAACAGATACATGCACAAGGCAAATTTTATCTGCTCCAACGGCAAAAAAGGAAGCCATACCAATGCAGTCTATGTCATCGCCAACCAATCATCTAATGAAGCTATTTGAATACACCAAAGCAACATAAAATATCCATTCCAAGAAAAGGGGTAGCTTTAGAAAAAAATCTTTCCTTACCTTAACATAGAGTTTACTTTGAATTTTAAACTTTCTAGAGATAAAAAATACTTACAAAATCAAGGATGCATAAATATAAATTCCAAGATCAGATTATCTGGTTAATGACTTTGTTCATGATATTATTCAGTAAAAGGACAAGAAGGACAATGCATGTGCATTAAAATCGTCTAAACTCCTTAATGGGAGAAATTAATAGTCTCACATGACACATAAGAAATGAAATCATTGCCTTCGAATATGAAATCAAATTACAGTTTTCAAGTTTGTTACTGCCATCCTCGATAGCGCCACCATTATTCTTTCCCCATAACAACCAGATTAATCCTAGTCCACAACTAGCTAAATTTGTTTAAGCCTTTAAGGATGTAACTTACATCAGAAAGTACTAAACAAAGTTAGTCAGTGATCCTTATTGGATCCCAATGACATTCATTAGTCATCAAGACTTCTACAAATACGAATATTCTACGTCACAAACCAATGCAAATATAGACACATTGCAGATTCTATAACACAAATCTTTTAGATATACATAGATAATTTAATTACTCCATATGCTTCAACCGTTACAATTAACATGTATGTATACTCAACTTGTAGACAACTGTTACTTAGACGCGGCTATCGAATCCCGTGACACACGGCTATTCTATCGCAAAGTGAAGAGTCGAACACGAAACAGTAAGGCAAAATGAAAAGTGAAAATTCTGAGTAACATAAATATACAACCGTTTTTTCCTGTCTTAATTGTAACTTGTGCAAGTACAGAAAATTAATGTCATGAAAAGGCTTACCCTGGCAGAGACACAGCCAGACAACGCCATGGGAACAGTGTACATAAGGCTAGTGGTCTGAATAAGTATCCCCGTGGCAGCCACCGCAAGCCTAGGATTGGGCAAGTATCCAGCCAGGACTGTCACAATCTCATACCACCACCATTCCAAGCATATCCCAATGCAACTTGGCACAGCCAACTTCAGCAACGGCCCCACCCCACCACAGATCCCTCCTCCCATCCCAGCCATGCATTTCCACTCCCACCTCCCCCAGACATACACGTACCCCACCAGAAGCACCACCATATGCAGGTTCGTTAGCACCGAAGCCATGGCCACGCCAGGTACCCCCAGCCCCAGCACCACCACAAGCACATAATTTAGTGGCACGTGGAATATCACAGCCACAAAGGTACACCACAGCTGGGGTTTAGTCACCCCCTGTGACCTTAAATAAACCCTCAGGGGCTGTAATAACGTATTGGTCAGTAAGTCTGGGAGTGAATAAAGGCAATAAACCGAGGCCATTCTCGTAATTTCAATGTCTTGACCCAAGAACACCATGATTGACTCCAGATTGACCCATAACAGACTAATTGGAATAATGGCCAAGAAAAGAATGAAGATCATACGCTGGAGAGAGATGGATAGTAAATCCCAGTTTTTGCTGCCGTAGGCTTGGCTACAAACCGGCTCCAGCCCCGAAGCCAAGCCTACTAAAACGGAGTAGCCGGTGATGTTCGTGAAGCCGATTGAAAGGGCTCCACCGGCTAGCTCTAAGCTGCCAAGCCGCCCCAAAAACAAGACTGACACCACAGCTCTCACGTAGACTAGGCAGTTCATGGCCGTTATAGGCAAAGCCATTGACCATAGCTCCTTCATTTCCTCCACAACCTAATATTAATTATTCAATTACACAAATTTAGCAACAATTTATTAAGTAAATACAGAAATTAACCCATAGATACATGCATTTTCATACATTAAGTACTTAAAAAAAATTTTTGGATTATTCCGTATATAAAATTTCCAACTACACTTTCTATTTTCTAGTCATCTTTTTATATCGCACATATCACATCTCAAAAAAAAATCCAAAATGACAGATTCATTTGAATCACATTTTTTAGAAATTCTTTTATCGCTAAGTCTAATTTGATAAGTTTATTAAAAACGTGTCTAAAAAAGATTCCAAAACTTTTTCTATATAACCTATGAATAATGCTTAACCAAACGCATTATTTTTTTTTGGAAACAAGTGCTTCTAAACAACGCAATCCCAAGCACTTGGGAGCTACCCAAAATTAAACAAATAAAAAATGAAAAAGCTTCCACTACACATGCACTTATTCGAGAATAACTATGACAGTAAGGAAGAATATCAAGGGAGAGGAAAAGATGGCTGACATTTTACTACTAGTAATAGTTTCTTGAACTGTGTTATTCACTCATGGAAAATAAAAAGATACAAAGTTATTGACACTAACAAGTACTCTGAAATGAGACTTTACCTGAAAAGAAGAGGGGATTTTGTGGGAGAAAAATTCCGAGTCCTTCTCAGCCATGGTTCAAGTTTGAGGAAAAATGGTTATTTCAGAACTTTACTTTCACAACATATGGTACTAGAAGTAGTAGTAGCATATCGTGTCTGCAAAATCACAAAGTCAAAAAGGTTAAACAAAATTTCCGAGAAAGAAAAAAGAAGAAGAATTTAAAAACTCAAAACCAACGAAAAAAAAATGTTCTCACTTCTGATAAACAGACAACCCAAAGAAAAAAAAGCACGTTTTCATTCTCAAGATTTTTGTTTTGGGAAAAGAAAAACAGTAAGAGGCTTGATTAAGGTGGTGAAAACAGAGCAGTGGGGGCGGGGTAGTAGTAATATTACCAGTAGACCTATGCGTTTGAACTTTGTTAAAGGCGGTGATAAAGACGTGGGGGTTTTTATTGAGGGAAGGTGATGAATTCTGTCAATTGGAGTTTTATATGGTAGAGAAAGGACAGAAGCAAAAAAGGAAAGCAGAGGAAGGTATGAGAAAGCTTTCAAGAGAGGGAAAAATGGATATCGAGAAAGCGACCAAGAGGGAGATGGACAGACGGAGAGAAGAAAGGTGAAAAGAGAAGGGGGACTTGGGAATTGGAGTCAAAAGAATGCTTTGTATGTAGTACCGGTGAGTGACATTTATTGCTGCTGCTGCAGGCTGATGCTTGCTGCTGCTGTTTTGCAGTTGCAGATCCTATTCACATCGTCCCACGAAAATGACAAAAAAAAATAAAAGAAGTAAGAAAGAAAAAAGTTGGAAGAAAGTCTTGAAAAAGGGCCTTTTTTGTCAAAATTTTGGGGTATCTAAGAGGACATTTGTGCTTACTCGTTTACAAATGGCACACCTTCGGTGCACTCATGGTATTTTTTTCCTTCTTTTTTTCTTCTTTTGATGGAGAAATCCTTTTTTTTCATCCAAGGATTCTACTTTCTCTACTGCTAGTTGTTGGCGGTGATATTCTCTGAGCGATAATTTTTGTGTGAGAGCATTTTTATTTTTACGTTGTAATTTTTCATTGATTTTGTTGGGCCATTGTTCACTGATTACTCTTCTCCTTCCCTCTCTGATTAATTGACTAGTTTGCCTTCCTCTTCTTTCTCTTTAATTAATTTATTTATTATTTTTGCAACTCACTGATTTGGTTTTGAGTTTTTTACCATAATTTTTTCTTATATTTTAATTCTTTTGCTTTAAAGTGATCCTTTTCATTTTCAAAGTTATATTTAAAAGTTATTTTTGCAAATAAAATGTAATTTAACTCAAACAACTAACAATTTAAATGAAAATAATTCAAAAAATGTAGATACGCTTATCCTTCAATATTTATGGGTGTAAAACATAATGCAATTTAAAATTACTTTAATCTAGTTATTGAAAAATATGGGCACATGTTGAAATCAAGATTCATATAATAATTAACAATTCATGATTTACTCCTATGCATGCAACAAGTCACAAGTCTTACTCATGATTTATAATTGAACCCAAAGTCATAGTCATATAAAAACTGAAAATACTCAGAATCAATAATTTGATAGTATTGGAGCGAATTGAAAAAGAAAAGGCAAAAAAATGCAAAATGTTGCTATAATTGCAACAAAAGTTACTCAAAAGTTGAGAACTTGAATCTCACTATAATTGCAACAAAATTGCTTCCCAAGTTTAATCAAAATTTATGATCACTCCAAAAAACTTTAAGTAAAGATAATTTGATAGAAAACTTAATGGAATAAAACAAAAAAAAAGTAAAAGAAAAGCAAGAAAAAACCTAGTGATAGTGATGGAGAAATAGCAAGAGCAATGTGGAAGTATGAGATAAGGGTATCTCATCTTAATAATGAATGGAAGAATGAAAGTGAAAGAAATAGAATTTAACCCCCCTTTTGGACCAACGACTCCCTGATAAAATCTTATCCTTTGTGTTATTTCTACTTTTTTTATTTTCTTTTTATATTAGACTAAATAATATAGATTTCTATAACTAGATTTATTTATATATATAGAGTGGAGAATGGCGATTAGAATGAACGATTCATGAATGACAAATCGCAAAATTCTCTACACCTAGAAAAGGCAGAAAGATCCAATCAGACCATTACATTATATTGACAATTTCAAAAAACTGTTCATACTATGATCATAGTATGATGGCGGTTGGGCAAGTAGGCCCCATCGTCTAGTGGTTCAGGACATCTCTCTTTCAAGGAGGCAGCGGGGATTCGACTTCCCCTGGGGGTAGGGTACTACGAAAGGAAGTTAATCATGGATTATCAATACAATAAGTCTAAAAGTGATTCTTCCTGGGTCGATGCCCGAGCGCTTAATGGGGACGGACTGTAAATTCGTTGGCAATATGTCTACGCTGGTTCAAATCCAGCTCGGCCCAATAATTCGCCCAATTCGCCAATCCAATCTATCACGAGAGGGTATAACCCCCTATCTTTCATAAAGACTCGATGCGGAGATAAAAAGAATAAAAATCTCTGCAAGATCCCTTTTTTCGCTGGGATTGTAGTTCAATTGGTCAGAGCACCGCCCTGTCAAGGCGGAAGCTGCGGGTTCGAGCCCCGCCAGTCCCGACGGATCCAATAAATACAGCAATAAATCCATCTCCCCCTTTCTATGAACTATGAAAGGGGGGCCGGGGCATAAGTTCATTCCCAAATCAAAAGGGGGGTTAAGTTCTATTTCTTTCACTTTTGGTAGGATAAAAACATATGTGGGTGGATTATTACGATTAGTAGTAGCATTATAGTAAGTATTCCAAGAAATACTGAGTCTGCTTTTTCGATTGTTTTCGATCCGTGGATAGAATACTGTATGTTTTTGGGAGGGAGGGCACGCATACACAAAATGGAATTCACAATCAAAAATGAATTTAACTTTAACAAAATTCTTCTGATAGAATACTCTTCTAGATTAAATAATTCAATTTCTCTTTCTGACTCTGGTTTTGCGTAACCTAAATTACTAATTGAAAAATAGATTTCTCATTCAGATTGCACATTGGACTTTTGATATATATTCCCAGCACTAATAATCTACGGAGGGGGGAGTAAAAGGCAGATCAACCAAAGATCCAATTTCTCTTAGCAAGGGAATAGTGCAGCAAGCTGTTCGCAAGGGCCAACTTGATCCCCTTCCCCAGGGATCTCAGATGAGGGAACCCTGGGAGAGCCGCCGACTCCAACTACCGTCCATGTACGATCCATACTAGATCTGACCAACTGCCCATCCTACCTCCTCTACGTTCTTGACAGCCTATCTTTGTCTCAGTAGAGTCTTTCAGTGGCATGTTTCGGTCCTCTTCCCATTACTTAGAAAAAGTGAGCCACGCAGTTCAGGTACAGATACTATTCATTACCGCCTGGACAATTAGACATGCCAACCCGTAATCGCAACGACCCAATTGCAAGGGCGGAGCTCTACCAACTGAGCTATATCCCCCGAGCGCGAGTGGAGCATGCATGAAGTAGTCAGATGCTTCTTCTATTCTTTTCCCTGGCGCAGCTGGGCCATCCTGGACTTGAACCAGAGACCTCGCCCGTGAAGTAAATCATCGCACCTACGGTCCAACCAATTGGGAGAGAATCAATTAAAATAACTTTTAACTAAAGGTCTTATCCCCACTCTTCTAAAAAAAGAGAAATTTTTTATTAATCTAACTTTGACAAATAGGTCGATGGGGAAAAAAACCTCCCCATCTTGGAAATGAGAAAAAGAAAGGTAAACCTTTTACAAAGAAAGGTAAACCTTTTACCTTGTATTTATTCGTTTGTCAACAAAATTTTTCTTTTTTTGGTCAATAAAAAAGTATTAGGATTTTTAGAATAATTCAGTAACCAAAAAATTCTTATTTTTAAAACTAAAAGAATGAACTTAATTTCATTTCATATTGATTACATCAACTCAAGAGATGATGAAATTTTTATATTTTTTTTATAGAAAATTGAAAATGGGTCGATTTTTGAGTGTATTCCGATTATTCCAAACTTTTATTACTTATTTATTTTTTTGCTGTACAAAAAAACTTTTTGAATTCCCAGTAGAAAGAGATTTTCCTAAGGAAAAAGCTTTTAAGGCTGTCCAATATCCCTTCCTTTTCCAAATATTTTTACGAATACGCTTTTTTGATGTAAAAGTACGCTTTTTTGGAACTGCCATTTAAAGGGGATTACTTATCGTTCTAACTGGATGTGAAAGACATCTATTGTTCAAAACCAATCATTTAGTCTATTTATTATCGAAATAATATTCTCTTCAGAAAAAGAAATTTCGATAGGGTAAAGATATGTGAAAATTGAATCAATAAAATTGTATTAGTATTAAATACTCAAATAAAAATAGAAAAAAGACGAAGATTTTGTTATTCTTTTTTTTTTTTCAAACTTTTCTATTCCTTAAAATATCCGTAAAAAAATTTCTTTTGATTGTTATCTTTTTTTGCGATTCTTTATCATTCAAGTCTATACCTGTTTGTATCTATAGAACCCGCTGTGCCATAAAAATCGAATTAGTTAAGTAAGCTTAAACTTAATATAATAAAAAAGAATCAAAAACCTTTACATTTTTATTTCTGTCTATTTTCGTCATTCTAAGGCGAATTTCCATATAATTATAATAAAATACCCCACCAAAAGATTTAAGATAAGAATAAAAATTATTAAACTTGACTTATGAGTTCAATTTCGAGTCAAGAGATAAATAGACACATATTTGGTAATCTACAGGAGTTTACTTATTTATAGCCATTCAATTACATATACCTAACCTATCCGAACCAACCCATTTTTATGAATTGATCTCAAATATCTGGAGTTTCTTTTTGTATATTATATGGATGATCCGACCCGCAAGGACCGTGATTGGGAATTGTTTGATCGTCTTTCTCTGAGGAAGAGGCGAAATACAATCAACTTGAATTCGGGACCGCTATTCGAAATCTTAGTGAAACACTGGATTTCTTATCTCATGTCTGCTTTTCGTGAAAAAATACCAATTGAAGCGGAGGGTTTCTTCAAACAACAAGGGGCTGGGTCAACTATTCAATCAAATGATATTGAGCATGTTCCCGAACTCGGTATCTATTGAAAGAAAAGAATAAAATCAATGAGGGAAAAGGATATAGGCCATGCCATATTTTAATAAAATCATTAGCAAACATTCCGAAGAAGTAATTGATTGAACCATCAACAGTAGTTCCACGGGCACTTCTCGGATTTCGAAAAGGAATAGTAAACTTCGCCAATTTTTATGGCCTGAACCATAATATAAAATGGAAGTCGATAAAGTATAAATAAAATTTTAAAAATTATAAAACAAGTGGTAAATATGCAATATGTGACTCGCCTGAGGGAGGCTCCTCTTATGTATAGCATCTCCTTAGACAACCACTATGTCTATACGCTTTTCATAGAAAGTGCGTATACACTTAACAAAACGACTTCTTCTTTTTAAAGAGGGACTAAAAAATCTGGTCTTCTTCAGCACCCACCTATAAGTCTGGTAAAAGACCGTTGATTGAAATAGAACCTAATTTGGTTGGGAAAAATTTCCTATCATTGGGATCCCATAAGTTATTCAAACCTGCTGTGTATATTTCCCATGGACATGCAG